GGCCCTGTGTTCACAAAACCCCCCCCCCCCCCCGGCCAGAAGCATATAAAACTGATCCAATGTTGAGTGCCATCGTGGGACACTCTGGTTCTCTGTAAAGTGCTGAGACTGTTGTCTACCAGAATATACCTACGAACTGCTTATTTGCTTTAACACATACTGATAGTGCCTGGGGAGGTAAGTAAAAACTTTATTCTAAGAATGGAAAAAAATAGGTTATCATATTACCTTATGCATGATCTAATCAGAATTCCATGTACACGGTTTCCATGATTCATAAACCTAAATTGAATATTTTCTACTGTGCAGATTAAGGCTCTGCTGGATGGTTAACTTTATCTATGTCCTTGGCAGATACTTCAGATGAAAGTCCAGCGCCTGGAGCACTTGGTGCAGCTGAAAGACCTGAGGATAGAAGATTTGACAAGGCACCTAAATAAACAAAGACTGCGGAAGAATATCACTTGAGGTCTTTGCTTTAGAACTATGCAAGAATGTAATTATCAACACTACTACCAAGCATCGCGCAAATTCCCAGAAGACATGCTCAGGGACTTTTCTCATACTCATCCAGTTTGAGCATTGGGCTGGACAAGTGCCTCTTTCTGGTTTTTTTTTGTTTGTTTTTTTAAGTATGAAAAAAAAAAAGGCTGTAGCTCTAGCATTATATATATTGTGTGTGTAACAAATATAACTCGGAGTACTTTTTAAAATAAAAATTTGATTGACATAAGGCTTGGCTGATTATATGTGTAAAGGGAACCTAAATGAACCTGAATTCATCACTTTTCTCATTATATGATATCGCACTATCGCTTTAAAGTCAATTTTTATCAACTTGTAAAAATTCACTGCAAAAACAGGCATGATGCACTACACTTACGGATGTGCGGTCAATATTCATGTATTCTGACTGCAGTGACTGCTAACTGCACTCGCCAACAATAGCCGCAGCGAAAGATTCATCCATCCACACTTTTAAAAGCAGTGAGGTTTTAATTTTTGGCAAAATTTGTGGTTGTACAAAAAAAGAGTGTACTTTGTGGCGCGGCATGTTTTTTTCCAACGTAGCTTTGTGCACCATAAACCGTTACATATCCCATAAAGCTTTGTACTGACATGAATGGGCATTTCTGCAGGCAGTGTCAGGGGAATTCCTTTCTCTTCTATCACCTAATAACACGTCTGTATGCTGATTACACGGAGATGCCAATCAGTATGGGTGACTGAGTGGGTAAATGGAAGTACAACTCCGCATCTAGTAACGCCATTATCTGCATCTGGAATGTGCCAACATCACCCCCGTATCTTGGAGAAGTACAGTGGGCATATGAGTGGAGTTTAGACAGGAAGTGACTGTGTGACGTAGCCTGATGCACAGGCAGAAGTGTGGTAAAAGCTTCTGGCATTGAGTAGATTTCTGCTTAAAGGTAAATAGTCAACTTGGGGTATAAGGGAAGAGAAAATTTAGTCTGGCAGTGCTCTCACCATCTACTTGCCCAGAAAAGTTAAAACATGTAAATTACAGTTATGCTTTAAATAAATTATCAGTGAGTGTTTGAAATGCCTGTAAATAGCAAAATGCCTGTTTTGAATAGAGCAAGTCTAGCCATACACTGATCTGTTTTTTTCGTTAAACCCGCTGGCTGAACGGAAAAAATAGACCCGATTCCTCCATCAACACTAACAACGTGTCGATCAAGGAATCCCCGCTGTTTACATACAGCGGCTGCAGGCACCAGAGTGGGCAGCTCAAAGATTTTCCAATCGGCTCCTTTGATCAGCTGATCGAGGGATGCAAATCGAAAGGGTGTCGACATACTGTGCGAATTTCTGTGCGAATACATACTGTGCGAATTTCTCCCGGTTCCTCAATAATACTTCCGAAATTCGAACAGTATGTAGGCACCTTTAGGAAGGGTTAAAAGCCCTATCAGTTTATTTTTCCTATCCGTATCCTGTTGTAGAGATTTCCCTTCATTTTTTACTCTACTAAAAAAAAGTTTTATTTCTATTGCACCCCTGTTTGAGAGATTTACAATTATACTGGGAGTAAAGCTGGCCCTACACTGGTCAAATTTCATCCTACTGAATCGGCTGGAATTCAGCCAGTGTGTGGCCCAGTTGGCACCCCTGCATTCCACGAAAGTATATTTTTCTATCAGCTTTTCTTGTAGGAGCTGGTGAGAAAATTCTTGGCCAAACAGTGACTTGGCTGCAGCCACTGTTGTGATATTTGGACAGCGGTATACTCTGGTTTCTCTTCAGATCGTATAAATCTTTCGCCTTATACTATATTTGGACAGCGGTGGGGGACTTCGGTGTATGGAACGCCCTGAGAAATGTAATTTCCTGCTTGTGTGATTGGTTCCCTGATTTTCTCAGATCTTTGCACTAAGATGCAAGTCAAATTTTAGGCATCTTCTGCCAGCAGCGTATCTAAGGTGTGCCAGGCAGGGCACATTACCTGGATTCCGCTTCAGGGGGGCACTGTACTGCTCAGTGACAGGGATGGTGTTTGTCCCTATAGTTAAAGTTGATTAAGGTCTGGGCGTTTTTTTACCTGAATGCATTCTCTGCATTAGGATAAAAATCGCCCAGTACTTTTTTCTCCCCCAGTTCCTCCCTAACTTGCCTGTCAGCAACGCTCGTCCCTGCCGCCAGTCCCGAAGCGATCCTCCGTTCCCCGAACTTTCTGGTTGCTGGGGGAGGATACTGATGGCAAAGGAGCCATAGGCTCCTTCTGCCATCAATCAACCTTTTGGGCGGGAGGAGGGGTGTGGCCTGCTACAGGGCTGTATGTGTCTATGGACACACACAGACACTGCAGGCACGAGCGCCTCCATTAGCCGATGGAGGCAGCCGTGCAGAGGGAAGAGGGCTGCGGGCACCCACTTGAAAACAAGAAATGTAAAACTTCTAAAGAAAAAAAAACAACAGCCTCAGACAAATGTGGGCCTCCTTGTAGCAAACATTTCCAGAAAAATGAAGCTTTAATATCACTTTAAGCTGTGCACCATTCAGACCTCCTGTCAGCACGGACTCAAAGTGGCAGACAGCGAGGCACACGCTGTCACAGGTAAACAGAGAGCCGGGGCAGGAAAAATTCACTTCTTTTGTTGGGCTCTGACTGATGACATCATCAGTAGAGGTAGAGAGCAGTGTAAACAGTGGCGCACCAGGGCCTCAGCCTGGAGGGCCCCAGCACAGTCCTGGCCTGTGCATGGATGGTATCCAGCGGCCGGCAGTCACCCCGTCTCTGCGCCGGGAGTGTCGGATCATACGTTCATCTGACACTCCCAGTGCAGAGATGGGGGGGGGCCCGCCGGCCGCCGGATACTGATCTTAATATCCCCACACTCCGACACGCTGAATTGGGG